CGGCAATTTAACAAATTATAATCAAGAGGTTTGAGTTCCAGCAGTGTCAGTTTTCAGTAACTACCCTAGGACGTTTTCTAAAACTCTCTAAAATTTAGACTCTACTTTTGTTAAGTGGGCTAAAATTACATACTTCACACTAGAAAAATACTGAAAAGTTCATATTATGATATGATATGCTCTGATACAGGGCTGGGAATAAGATGAGGCAGGCCAGGTGCCAAGGGGACTAAATTTAAGGAACCACTCCCTTTCAGGGTTTTGCAAGTGTAGGGTTGGCTCCTGACGGTGAATACTTCCTTAAATGTTGTGTTTGAGGTACCTCTTTGCCTCATCTTATGGTCCAGATGGAGTAGGATATTTAAATGGTATTATCAAATGAGAACTGGAAGAAAAATTCCTAAAGGATATTGAAGATTAAATCACTTACCCAATTAAATCATTCAGGGGAGAGTTATGACATAAAATAAATATTAAAATGAGCTTAATAAATAATTTATAAAAATTAATTAGGAGAAAATAATTAATTCTCTTGCTGTCAGAAATATAAAATAAGTAAAGCAATCAGACCTCAGAATAATCTTAAACCTTCCCTAGCTGGAAGTAACTTCTATTACTACTTAGGTTATTTTGAGGTATTTTTACTTTATAATTGAAATACAAAGTAAATTGACTTGAAATTTACTTTCCACATTCAATATGCCTGAGATGTACATTCTCTTTTCCGAATTTATGTTTCTCATTATAAGAGGAGAAATATTTCCCATTATAATAACTAGTATTTAGATATTTATATCTCATCTAATTTACACCAAAGATTGAGGCTTATGAGGTTAGTAATAATGAAAAGGGAAACCAAGGCAGACTGGAAGAATGCTGTAAAGAGAAGGGAAACTGGGAGAGTGCAGGAAGCAAGAGATATACTTGTTAGGAGCATAGGCTCTTGGGCAAAAGCACATAGGAGTATGACCTTGGATAAGCCATTTAACCTCACTGTGCATCAGTCTTTACAACTGCAAAACAGATATAATAAAAGTATCTATCTCATAGTGTTGTTGAGAGGCTTAAATGAATTATTACATGCAAAGCACTTAGAACAGGAACTGACACTTAATAAGTACATCACTAATGTGGGCTATTACTCCAATATCATTGGAAATTTTGTTAAGCGCTCTCTGCCCAAGCAAATCTTTATTTTAATAAATTATCTCTCTTTGCCCTTTAGATTTTGCTGACTGATACCTACCTCATGCCTGACACTTCTGCTCTAATTTGCTAAATTATATATTTACCAAAGGTCATTTATATTTGTTTCCAAACCGATCTATATCTACTACCTTTCTTTGAATTAGGCAATTTAAATTGATATTAAATGAAGCCAAAAATAAAAGAAATTTGGCTCAAAAATGAACACTAAGTTGAATGGTTTGGAAAGACCAGACAAAGGCAAATCTTAAAACATGATAACATTTCTTTTAAAAAAATGCTTTTGTATGCTTTCATCCTCATTTTATGCAGTGGATTCATTACTAAAAGTTAAAATGTAAATTTTTTATGCAAACCAAATCATATTTGAAATCTATTATAAATGAGTAAATACTTCCATGTAGATGAAGTAAAAGGAAGAAAAAGCACTCAGTAGATAATTTTTTAAAGCAAATAGACACGATTTAAATTATCTCTTATGTAACTTGCATCAATATTTGGCAAAAGGCATACATCCTCTATGAATAAAGAGTTTTAGACATTAATAAAAAGATGAATATTTCTATAATCCTATAGAAAAATGAAAAAGATTATAAATAGGTAATTAATATAAATAATAAATCAATAAATATATATAAAAATTTTATATTGAATTACATTTAAAAATGTATACCCTGAAAAAGAGTAAACTTGGGGTTTTGTTGCTTGGGAGAAAAATCCAAACTTTAGTCTAGAGACTAGCTCAAAAGTCTATCTTAGTTGCAGCCTTCAAGTCTGATAGGAATCATAATTCCTCAGTTGAAACCTTAAGAAAGTAGCAGCACCATTAAATGAAGAGCAAGCTAAATCTTTTCAGAGTAATTCATGCTGACACAAAATGTATGCTGCCACCATTTTGCTCTGTGGACTTAGAGATGCTATTTGCCCAGTACTGGGGGAGCGAAGGAGCACACATTGACTCACAGTTCGGGATGTCGGAGGAGCTGAAGGACTTGTTAGGGAAACCATCTCCTGGATTGCTAATCGTAGTTTTAAGCGATGCAGAGGGTTGCTGATTCCAATTTCTCTCTGAATCTCGGTGTCTGATAATGCAGACATGATAGCACCACTCTTCACGTTGGCTCGGCAAGCTGCTACATACCAAGCAGGCATTCCCAACCAGAGCTGTTGGATAGAGAAAAAAGTGTGTGCATAGATTATAATAATAATAAAATTTTAGTGTCTCTTATATGCTAGGCATTATTTGAAGTACCTTTTATTGCCACCATCTCATGAGATAGATGCTATTATTATTTTCCCCATAGGAGATAGATGCACAAGGGTATTAAGTGATTTATTAAAAATACCAGCTAGGCAGTGATAGAAATAAAAACTTGAAATCAAGTCTCCAGAGTCTGCAATTTAACAACTAATTTTCATTATTAAAGATAAAAAATAATAGTTGCACAACACCAAATCCCCTCTTGGGGTTAGGACAAGAAGAATAGCTACAGGCTGTGTTTGGTGAAGGTGCAATCAATGTTTAATACGTGACTTCAATTTATAATTCTCCTTCTGAATTCTGAGTGCAGAGAAATTCTGAATGTACAGAAAGAGACAGCTCTACCTCCAGCCATATGATTTTGATCAAAGCCTGCAGTGTAGCTAAGCTGCATTTCTCATGTACTAACCTATACCATGTGATAGCTGTGTGAACTTAATTAGATGTTCTATATAAACATATTTTTGGAGAATGAAATATGCTAATGAAAGATACTAAAGTTAGCTAAAGAGAGTAACAAAATGAATAATGCATTAAAAATTAGAGGTTTTAATTTTTTCAACTTTGCTTGGATGCTCTTGAAAGACAATTGAATCAGTAGTGCAATGAGCACAGCACAGTGTCTGACACAGCACTGGTGAATACCAACTCACACGCATGTGGTAGGATCATAATTACATCGTCTTAAAAAAGGAATCTTCTTTTTACTTTCCCTTCATCAGGCACTATGGGTGAGAAGCCATACTTCTTACTTAGCTACGAGTAAGAAGTGGGGCATGTGCAAGTGAGCAGTTTAAACCTTGGTTTTTCAATGACCAAAATACTGATTTTGGGGGGGCTATTTTATTTGTTGATATGAACAGATTGAGCAAAAAGAGAGAGAACATTAGAGTGAGAAAAGTGAGAGAGTAAGAGAAAGAGAAAAAACTTAGAAATCAGCAAAATACAAAGCCAAGAGCATTGGACCAAGAATCGGAAGGTCTGGACTCTGTTTCCTTCCCTGTCATCACTGAATTGTGTAACCCCCTAAACCTCAGCCTTATTTTTCTCCCTTGTACAGTGAAGAGATTCAACATTAATAATCTAAGGCATTGTGTTAGGCAGCTCCTAAGATGGATCCTAATGATCTCCTCCTCCTGACATTCCTGCCCTTGTGTAATCCTCTTCCTTTAAGTTTAGACTGGACTGAGTGACGTATTTCTAAGGAACAGACTATGACAAAAGTGATGCGATGTCACTTTCCAGATTAGGTTATAAAAGGACAGTGGCTAAAAAAAGTCCTCTCTCTTCCTCTTGGAGCTCTCCCTCTGGGGGAAGCCAGCTGCCATGTTGTGAGTAGCCCAATGGAGATGCCTATTTGGCAAGGAACATGTTCTTGGCTAACAGCTAGCAAGAAATTGAATCATGACTGTGAAAACATGAGGCAGCTTGGAAGTGTATTCTCCCCAAGTTAAGTCTTGAGATGACTGATGCCCTGGAGTACACCATAATTCCAGCCTTGTGGGAGACTTTGAACAGAGGTAATAGCCAAGCCATTCCAGGTTCTTCTCGCAAAAGCTATGAGGAAAACAAATGCTAAGTTTGGATATAATTTGTTACGTGGTAATAGATAACTAATATAGATATCCTTTTATTAAAAAAAAAAAAAAGTCTGTCACATTGGAAGGCTATTTGTCTCTAAAGGGGAAAAAAACAAGTAAACAAAAAGCCAAATTTTTGAGTCAGTGCAGCCTGGGCTGTGACTAGGATAAAAGAAAGGAGAGAAGATATCTAAGTACAGTGCATGACTGAATTATTTATATATTTTTCCGGCAGGTTAGGCACAAGGAATTAACCCTACCTTCACAGGTATGACTAGATACAACCAAAGATGGGACTTGACTTCTTAGTTTATAAACTCAAGTTTTTCAAAATAACTAAACATTTAAATATACTTGCAGTGGATCCTAATTATATTCTACTTCCTCTTTTCTAAGCAAGGTATTTGGATTTCCATTAAAAAAAAAACTTGTAGAAATTTTGGATTTATACAAATGCTTGCCAATACATTGTTATCAATGTCATCCCTGATTAGACTTTTAAAAAGCTTTTGATGTGGATAAATGGTGTGTGAAGCATCAGACTTAACATCATTCTTAGCAGGTTGTATACACAGGAAGTGCTAACAGAGGTGAGAGTTAAGAGCTCTCATTCATTGGATCACCTGGCTCATTCACCCTGCTTATTCCATTTTATAATTTGAGTCACTTTAGGAAGCATATTATGAGCAATTTCTGTGTGCTCAGGATAGGTTTAATTAGCACAAACTTCACTTGCTTGTCATTTTCTAGCCCCTTAATGTCAGTAAATCTTTTTTTTTTTTTTTAATCATCAAAAGGATTGTTTATCACTTGCCAAAATAGCAGCTAACTGTCAAACTGTAGTTCATTTTATTAGAGTGGAACTGAACAAAGAATAGCTATCAATTTTGAGATATCTTCCTTGAGCATTTTGTTGTATAATTGATTTTTAAAATATAGTAATTTTAAAGACATGTTTGGAACAAGCAGCTCTGATCACTAAACTGCTAAAAATTTCCCTGACTGATATGAGAGAATAAAATAAAGCAAGACATGCCTCTTTCACTTAGTTCAAGAAAAAGAGCAAAACATATTTTCCTATCTATCTATATAGAACCATTTTTTAAAACTAAAATGGGTTTTAATTTTTCTTATTAATTTGTCAGCTCTGGTTATAATACGAGAACAAAGATGGGTGATATAATAATCTCAAATCATTTAAAACAATGAGTTCTAATTGTCTATGCCAGGCAGGAAAAGCCTATATTTTTCTTTGCCCTGACATTGGCATATCCTAAGCAGCTTCCAGAAGCTCACTTAGAGAATCGAATGGAAGGGGCTTACAAGTAGCATAAAAGATCTCTTTGTGGTCAAATATGCTATTTCCTTCACTGTCCTAGTCAGCTCTTGCTGCCCTCTAACCTGCTTAGGCATTAGTTAATTTTTACAAACCTCTGTGTTGGGCAGAAAATATTGAATGTAGTCCTTGTTTCATTATACCATTCAGTTTAGACATAGAAGAGAAGAGATAAGTCTTTTGCTTTATTCCAAGGGTCTAAACCTGGCTAGCTCCTAGGCTTGAGAAAATAAGGTTCAGGAATTAAACTACAAGCAAAGGAATGGCTCTCTACATAGTTAGTTGGCAGTAATATTTTGGATAATATGGAAGTGTTAAATTAAGTATGGAGATTGTTCTTCTCTGTAGCCTGCTGATGAGAAAGGACTCTGGACTGATGGACTGGCACAGACATTTTCTTGCAACAACAGAAGTGTGGCTCAAAACTTGTTTCTTCTCTCACTTTAGACAAGAAGTGGGTAAAATTTAGATACATTTCCTTTTATCCTATTGGGTGTATCCTTCTGTCACAATCACAAGAAAGCAGAAGGGTAAAATCACAATGTCCACGGGTCCCTAGCTGAAGCAAAATATTCTCTTTTTGCACTTTTCCAGACTTTTGGAAAGCTATGACTTTAGGTATCTGCCTTTATTTGTCTCTCTAAAAAACCTACCTAATTATTAATGATTGGTTTAATTCTCTTACCTCTAGCCATGCGACTACTGTGGGCCCATCCCACTGGGCAAAAGGTAATCCCTTTCTTCGAGCTTCTTCTAGAAGTTCATGCCTGTAGTATACAGCAAAGATTATTAGTCAGGTAATATGAAAAAAGATGGTTGTGATTATTTTTAATTACATTACTTTTTTTTAAAAACAATAATCCTTTATAAGCTTTCTATGAGGTAATACAGAATAATAGAATGCCTTCTTCCTTTGAAAAATACATGCAAATCACTCATTGATTTTATTAGAAATGAAAAATTAACATCTAAAAATAGTTTCCCTCAACATTTATTCACTAAAATTCAACCATTAAATGTTTATGGACTACAAAGCAGAATTGTATTATCAGCAAATATCTTATCCCTTTTACAAGAAAATGGCCCACACATGCATATTCAGGCATATATTATATGAACTAAATGTGGCTTCTTCCATCTGCCTTGTTCACTTCCCTTTAATATTTCAATGGTAGATAAAATGCCTGTATATAGAGGCAGAAGAAAAATTTGGTCATTTCAGCCCCATTCAAATGATGTACTTAATTTTAGAATGTTCTCTGGGTCCAGGTGGCTATCATACAAGTTAGTTCTTGTCTAGACTACAAAATTACTTCTGGTTTGAAGAGAACTCAGGTAAACTGACTTCTTCACAACAAAGCAATATAAGGTGTGAAATTCAATAGTACACTTATTTTCATTTATAATCACTTCTGTTTTAAGTGAAAGTGAAACCCCTCACTGACTACTAATGATTGTTTCTGACAACAAAAAGTTTTAAAGAACATCGACAGATTCATCTTTAATCACTGTTTCCACTATGAGCATTTAGAATTGACATGGATTTATAAAACCAATTTGAGATAGCTCACTATTGAAATAGCAAATTTGTTTTCTTGAAACGTAAGTTGATATATACCTGGCCAGGACTACATTGGAAAATGTATTCTCTGTTCTTAGTATGCGTTGATCTTATAAACAAATGATAAAAAAAATATATTAATTGCTTTATTTTGAATGTGTCTTTTATGCTTAGGAATTCATCATTAATATCATATATGAACTCCAAAATGAAACATTTGATTATTTTCTGTTATCAATCAATTAATTGCTCGTCAAGGTAGACTATATGTTAAACTATTTAATCAAAATGCCTTTCGACACGAGATTTTTGTGTTTGCAACGGATGCTACCAACAAAAATGTAGTGTGAAAAATAAGCAAGAAGGTAAAACAAAAATTGACATTTTAGTGGCTGAAGAGACACATAAATATATTGCTGTTTCATTTGATGGGATAGTAAGGAAAACATGGGTAAGTTCTGCAAGTAAGCTCTTCAGCACCTGGGAAAGTGAACAGCAACACTGATGCCCTGAATCTCAGTAAAAACTAGAAGGGACTTCTTCACCTGGCTTGCTCTACCATCACCCTATTCCCTCAGGCTTCCTCTTGACATTCCTTTACTGAAAATCAGATTTAAATAGCCTAGTCTCACCGTGACAGAAATATTGATAGAAATGGGTTGAAGGTTCAACCAACCATCAGATACTTATTGGACACATATTGTGAGCTAAGACCTGTGGAAATAGAGACATGGACCCATTTTTTTCCAGGAGATCCCTGGTTTGATAGAAAAAGTAAACACACAAAACTGAAAACATAGTACCATATACAAATAGATGCTAATAATTAGTGATGCACATTCTGAGTGTGAGGATTTTTGAAAAGGGGCTAAAAGTAATGAAAACAATTGTTTAAGTCTTTGTGGAAACTGTGCTAGCTTTGAAGGGCAGGTACTAAAGAGATGAGAATGGTGTTCCAAGCAGGATAAGCAGTAAGGGTGGAGGGGCAGAGGCATGGAATATGTAAAAGAAAATTTAAAGTAGACCTCCACAGAGCTAAAGAGCAGTGTTAAGAGTCAACATGTTATACACATTAGGGAAGGGAATATTTTCAGTTATGTGACAGGTGAGTGGCAGGAAAGGGAA